CTACGCTTCGCCACAAAAAATTTACGGGCAGCGGGGCCCGTAGAACGTTCTCGAAAACAATAGGGAAAGAGGCAAGTCCGCTACTCGGCGGCACAGCCGGGCGGCCTCGTAGTAGGTTAAGCTACGTAGACCGAGTCCTAGGCGTGTGCCGCAGGTACCGGCAACACATTATAAAAACTCGCGCACAACACATATATAGGCATGGCTTCGGCCAGAACACACACAAACAAAACACATGTGAAATACACTCTAAAAAGGCGGCGATGCAAAGGGGAGAGGAATGGCAGCGAACGTCCAATGGGCTTGTAGGGATTAAATCCCGCCGTCCAGGCTACAGCCCAATGCATTTGGTCCTGGTTCCGTGGGTGCAGGTGGAGCCCACGGCAAAAACTACTCTCTGGGTTTAAAGCACTTAGGCGGATGGACGCAGCCGCAGGCAGGCGTTTGGCCTCCTTATCCGTCCTATTGTGCTACCCGCTTTACCATGGAAATTAACACCACTAACCTAACTAATAATGTGGGTTTTTTGGAGGATGCTCCTCGAACCCTAAACCCGAGGCGCCCACGTCATGTGGGTGAAACTCATCCCCTCTCCAATAACCCTCCTTAACAGGCTCAGAGCCTTAACGGGGGTGGAGAAGTTAACCAAGCCCCCTAGGGGGCGTGCCGACCTATGGACGTCGGACGAGGTGGAAACTCTCAAGAACCTCTGCTGCCAGTACGACCGGCTGATAAAACGGCAAGAGGTCGCAACGCGATACGAAGCTATTCACCGACGCCATACTAAGGCAGCCCAGCAATACCGGTGGGGTCTAATCAAAAAAGAAATCAGATCCCGGCGCGCGCGGGATCCCCCCCATGACGAGAACACGGCCCTAGGAAACACGGCCGAAAATGACCAGACGGCCGACCCGGAAAATGGGGCGACGACTAGCCCGGCCTTCCTCGATCAGACGACAACCGCTGGTCGTGCATGTCACTAATGTGTTGAGCAAACTGCCATGGCAAGAACGGCAGAATGAACGACACTGGAAGTTCTGTTCGCGTGCTGTTTCGTCCATGTACTTTTCAACAGCTGCTACATCCAGTTCTTGGCCCGTCATCGCTTTAATGAGCATTGCGTGTTGCTTTCTTTCACGTGAAAATGCATCCCTCAACTCAAACTGCAGTGCCGTGAGTAATGTCACATCATCAAAACAACACAGTATGTGGGACTTTAAATGCTCACAGAAGCTTACATTCCTGACTAAGTCATTCACATGTACCTTTTCTCAGTCCGCTCCTATTTCCTTCGCGCATGACGCTTGAGTCGCGAGAACTTGTTCCAACTGTTGAATGCAATTCCTCCAGTTGCTAAGTTCTCTGACGAGAACCCCATTCGGAAGACGGGCACATATCCTGGATGATTGTGCGTCCTCACTTTGCTGATCAGCAATCTCGCTTCGCAATGGTCCCGCGATGAGATACCCCCGATGCGCGGCCAGTTCTTCCTCAGTCAGTGACCGTTTACGAGTCCTCATATGCGCTTGACGGAACCTCCCCATTTACTTCGGCACAGTACGTCTTGAAAAAGAAATGAACTCCTGATTCAGTGGGTCTGTGCTAGAGAAAACATTCTCCATCCAAATACCGCCTTCGCGGCTGTGATCACGAGCTAATACATGATAACTTTTAAAAAAGGAATGCAACTTTTAAAAACGAGTCCTCCTTCACCCCTCATCACATCCAAAACCAATTCCAAACCATCACCCGGACCCTCACTGCGCCATCCTTCCTTCCTCCCTCCCCATTCCTCCGTCCCCCTACACCCCTATCTTCCCTTGCTGCGATCCCCTCCAAACCGATCGACCCGTCGATCCCAGCTATCGATCGTTATGCTACAAAGACCGGTCGTTATGCTACCGGAGGGAGTGATCGAGGGGAGGGACGGAGGGCAACAGCTCGTCCCGCACTTAAACCCCACCCCCGCCCCTGGCACAGGTTACACATACATAGTATGTGTACTGTGGTGATTCGGGTGTTAAGCGTCTTTGCGTGTTGCTTTCATTTCACTCATTCATTTTTTACTTCTCCCACCTCGCAGTCTTATTCATCCAATCAACGTGAATTCTACACTTTCCGTGGTGATTTGGGTTACACGAACGGTCGGGCCATGGTACACGATCTTCTGGCCGTTACTTGAACTAGGTGAGACAGTAACTCATCAATACAAGTAATCTATGGCAAACTTTCATACCACGCCCACAAACGGTCGTTACTTGTATAAATAGGCGGGCACCATTGGGAAGTATGCGTTACTCGAGCGCTACACGAGCAGCACAGATGTTTACTTGTATCAGTTGCCGTTACATGAACTTTGTTGACATATTACCTGTAATATGATTTTTTCGTGATGATAACCCATTCTTCACAGTGTCTATGCGTCATACAATAAATCATTTTTTTGTCATCGGCTCAGCCTAGCACCCAATTTTGGTTTCTTCGATCTATCGATTTTTTTATGCCGCACCAGAAGCAACATATATTTTAAATATTTGAAAATACGTTATAAATATGAATTATAAGTATATTGAATGCTTAGGTATTGTACAATATGCTGTATTTATATTGCAACACCTATCAGGTTCTTGCCGTACATAATGCAGTAAGCCTCGAAAATTATTACTTTTAGGTTTAAAATATTTAGAAAAATA